GAATTTCCGGCTGACTTTATACCGCAAATATCGGCTAATGTGTGAGTTATCTCAATGAATATGAGAAAGTGTGCTTCACTCATAACAGTGTAGCTTTGTGTCTAAAATTAATAAAATTGCGTGAATGCATGACCAAGCCCCCATTTAATTAATATTAGGATTTTCGAACATCCGGCTAACTTTATTCCAGGTGATTTGTGATGGTATGTGAGGTAACCGAAAGAAACCCTGGGAGCATTTTATTAGTATGTGGTATGTAAAATAGATAAAATCCGGTCAATACTACCCCCAACTCCCATTTACTGGATATAATATTTTTTGTTTTTTAACAAGTTTTATGCCAAATATGTCGTTTAATGCCCCCAACATATGCCATATAATGATTTTCGTCTTTCCACCTGACTTTAAACCATTCAAGTTGGTCAATGTGATATTTCAATAAAAATAAATGGAATAATAAAAAATTGTGTGGTTTGACGCTGAATTAGAATATATACCTTGTTCTAAACCTCATATCCCTAATACAATGAATCCCGATCCTCTGGTTGACGTTTTCCAAATCAACTCAATATATATTAAATTTAGCCTTTTCGGTCGAGTTAATATCACATACATATATCTCATTTGAAGGTGTTTTTAATATAATTTTAGCTGACGCGAACTGTAATATAACAGTAAAACTGAGTCTAAGTTTTGGCTTTCATATAAGTCGAGAAGATACCAAATTTGATTGTAATTTTTTCACTATTTCATCGAATAATAGATGTTTAATTCTTTCGCAACATTTTTATACTCTCCTGTTGCTACAGAGTATAATAGTTTTGTTCACCTAACGGTTGTTTGTATCACCTAAAACTAATCGAGTTAGATATAGGGTTATAAATATAATATATATATAAATGATCAGGATGAAGAGACGAGTTGAAATCCGGGTGACTGTCTGTCCGTCCGTCCGTGCAAGCTCTAACTTGAGTAAAAATTGAGATATCTTTATGAAACGTGGTAGACATGTTTCTTGATACCGTGAGACGATTGGTATTGCAGATGGGCATAATCGGACCACTGCAACGCCCACAAAACGCCATTAATCAAAAACAAATAAATTGCCATAACTAGGCTGTTATTTGGTACACAGTATCACATTAGGGAGGGGCATCTGCATTTAAAATTTTTTTAAAGTGGGCGTAGTCCCCTCCTAATAGGTTTAATGTGCATATCTCCTAAACGGCTAATGCTATAATAACCACATTCACTGTAAGCAAATGTTTTTAGAACCTCTACTTACGGTGTGAAAATAGTTGAAATTGGGTGGCAACTCCACCCACTCCCCATATAACGGTACTGTTAAAAACTACTAAAAGCGCGATAAATCAAGCACTAAACACGCCAGAGACATTAAATTTTATCTCTGGGATGGTATGAGCTGACTTTATAGGAACCGCGTTCAAAATTAGACAGTTTTAGGTGAAAACACATATCTTGGGATCTGCTCAACTAATATCAACATGACATTCTTTTCATATTTCTATGCTATAGTGTGAAAATGAACGAAATCGGATTACCACGCCTATTTCCCACATAACACCATTTTAAATTCCATCTGATTCTTTCACTTTCCACTATGCAAATAAGGCAACAATGACTGTATCGGGATAAAACTTTGCGTGAATAATGCGCTTAAAGTATGAACCCTTGTGGCCAAAAATTGCCTAAATCGAACCAAAACTGTTCAAGCCCCTAAGTACTGAATATGTGGACCACAGTGCGTATAGTTGCCCTTCTACCGAAAATATCGGTCAATCCACAAAGAAATCTCAAACGAGTATACTATTTTACTTTGCAAGAGAATAAAATCATCCTATTTCCCATTTGGACCGCGCCCAGGCAAACCTCTGGGTCTTGGCCCTTGCAAACCACGACCTCAGCCGTCATCTTCATTTGTTGCACCTGAATCTTCCTCTGTTGCACCTGAATCTTCATCTGTTGCACCTGTGTCTTCATCTGCTGCACCTGTATCTTCATCTGCTGCACCTGTATCTTCATCTGTGGCACCTGTGTCTTCATCTGCTGCACCTTCAACTGCTGTGCCCACAGCCGCTGCATAAAGCTTCAATTTTCAATCTTGATAGACAAACATTATTTTATCTGAATGTCAATTAAATTAAACCTAATTATTATCCGCTTAAGAAAAATTCATTGAATTCTTAACTAAAATTGTGGCAGTATACAAAACTCTTTCTCTATTATGCATCTAACCTTGAAAGTAGATGAGGTCAGGCCAAAAAAAGTGGATGACTTTGATTTTCATCCTAAATTAACGCGTCTACTTCAACATTATCTTGTTTCGATCATCTTTTTGAATCTCTAGATAGAAAGAGAGTGGTCAAGTTAGAAAATATTATCGACGAATGCTGCCAAGCAACAACAACGTTAGGAGTACTGTAGAAAACCCGAGCTCATTTGGTAATTTAGTAGATAAATACCTTTCGAGAGACTGACGTCTCTACGCTCCTTGGTGTGATATGTTGTATCCATGGTATGGTCGAATGCGTCCTAGATGCTTCAGACACTACACCTCGGACCATAACTATTGAAGCCTTCATATAACGAAAATGTGGACCCCAGAGCCTATGGCTGCCTTTTTGCCGAAAATATGGGACAATCTATGAGATATATAATTGAAATTTGGGGAAAATGTTTTCCTGTTAATAATATACCCTAGTGTCAGAAATGATTGAATCGGATCGGATCTATACTTCTCTTAGTCCCCTTTTATACCACATACATTGGCCAATGTGGTAGTTATTTTACGTGTACCATAATTTTGTGCTTAAAACGGATAAAAGCGGGCGAAAACTTGCCTTGCACTAATATGACTGATATTCACGATTTTAAATGTCCGGCTGACTTTACTTTAAACATATGTTTATATTTAAATAATTATAAAATTGCTTAATAATAAGTTCTCAAGTATACCTGAGCAATGTCGAAAATAAGTGCAATCAGCCCTTCCATTTCTATGTCCTCAAATGATTTTAGTATAATTTTCGCTGACGGGAAGTACAATAAAATATAGTAATAAAACTAAGTGAGTACATGACCTTTAAACTATGTTACTATCATACCAAATTGGTAATCCTTTCACGATTTAGTGGAACAATGAAGTTTTGCTAAATTTCTTAATAAATATAAAAAAGTTTTGCCAAAACCTGAAGGTATTTCTCGGCTTTGATCAGGCAAGAGTATGAAATGTTCGGTTACACCCCCTTTCTTACTTGAAAATTTATTCTTCACTTTATTGATATCAAAGTGACAAACTCTGTTGTCTTTAAACAAAAACGAAAGACGTTTCAATGAGAAATAACAACTGTTTGGATATCTCTAAAAACAGATTGGTTAAGCGAAGAATGTCGGACCTCTAAGAAATAAATATCTGAACAAACTAAATTACGGCATATTATTTCCTATATTCTGTATCTTTCTTATACTATATAATTCCGTATGCTGTAAATGACTATAACAACAGCACTAACTAAGTGCAATACAGAAATCGGGGTACCAAAGCAATGTTTCAAACAAAAGAGTTAATTTGGTTATAGTGATAGTCCAAAGAAGCACTCACTCAAAAAGTCAGAATATTTTCTAATGACTTCAATAGTGGTTCCGACGTAAGATTTTTCTCTAGATTTGAATGAAAGAAATATGCTATGATGGTTAATGACATTGCCTCCATCTCCCATTATATACCATAGGATTCAAATGGACGCGATTTTTTTTAGGGTATTCTCCGAGGAACTAAAATCTTCCTCCCATTTCGCGGAATTAGTAGACATAGAAAAGGGTAATACGCATAACCACAGCGGATACAGAAAACAACCATTAACATGGAGACTTATTACTTTTGTAAACATTAAAATTCAGTGTGTCAGAAAAAACTAAGTTCGAGGAAGAGATTATTCATACTTATCAAAGCAATATGAACTCGTTTATAATAAGAAATCAGTTTTTCTTTACTTCAGAGATGGAAACTAATGATGAGTAAGATCCTAATAATAAGGTTATATTTCTCCACCAAACATCTTGGCTAAGTTCTATTTAGAAATGATGGACTCAAGGTTCATTCCTTGACAATCCAAAAGTTTTGGGCTTAATCAGATCTTCAATAAATATCAAAGCGTGGGTGGGCGAATTAATTTAAGTGATCAAATCAATTATTTCGAGAAATATGTTTGAGCTCACTCATTTACTTAATGAACAACATAACTTCTTTTACTGCTTTACTGAGGAACAAAGAGAGCGGCAATAATAACTAACTTAACAAAATACAGTTTTGTCTAAAAATCGAAAAACCTTTGATAAAAGCAAAAATACAATATTTATTTTAATTTTACTCAGAAAACAAACAATACAAACTTACTCAAGTGTTCTTTGTTATGGGCTCTTTGATACAGAGGGTAAAATCCTATATCCAGCCTATTAAACAAAGGTATTCTTTGTTGTGTCACGCTTCTTAAAAATCCTTGGACTAAAGTTTTTTCGCTGCATTGATAGCAGAATAAAAAGTATAATAACTCAGCCTGAATCGCAAGAAATCACTTTGCAGCCCTCCAATGAAAATATTTTGTCAGTGTAAACTGGCTTAAGGCTTAGAGTTTATTCACAAAGCGTCTGATTAATGCATGTTGTTTCGGATACAGGTTCTTAGACAGTGAATTCCAACGTTCAGATCATATGAATAGTCTACCGCCAGTCTAAAATTTACTTTTGTTATTGTGTATACTATTAAATATTTTCGTTAGTTATTTAATTACATAAATTTTATATTTACAAAATAATTTATTTATTTATAGTTACAACAGGAATTGTTTTCATAGTTGGTTTATAATTATAAATTCATTAAAATATCTAAATACAATGCAATTGTTTACTGAAATTTTGCTGAAACGTAATTATGCTATATAAGACTGACGAAACCGCTGGAGTCAGCAATTTGACAAAGCTCATTTGATTAACAAGATGAAATTCTTTACGGTATTATTCTTTATCGCTTTCGTGGTCGTCCTAGTAAATGGTATGTTGCACTAAATGAGTGTTGCTGTGTTCCTTCAAAAATATTTAAATTTAAAAAATAATTCCAGGGCAACGTGGATATGGGCGACGAGGACCAGTCAGACTAGTTGGAAGGCTCCTTAGCCGTCTTGGAGGATTTGGTGCTTTTGCAAGAGTTCGCGGACCTGCACCACTGTTCCCATTTGGACCGCGCCCAGGCAGACCTCATGCACCTGAATCTTCATCTGCTACACCTGTATCTTCATCTGATGCACCTGTATCTTCGTCTGCTGCACCTGTATCTTCGTCTCAGTCCCCTGAATCTTCATCTGCTGCACCTGTATCTTCGTCTGCTGCACCTGAATCTTCGTCTGCTGCACCTGTATCTTCATCTGTTGCACCTG